CTTGAGAGAAAGTGGTCATTGTTATTTGAATGTTCACAAGGGTGAGCACGGAAAAAACTAGGCATAAACAGACATGCACTGTAAACTTGGGTCAGTCATAACTCTTGACAGTTTAAAAATAAAATGGATGGGGAACTATCAAATAGAGGAAGACCCAAGAATGTTGAACTACTTAAATATAATTCTGACTGTGCAATCTCACAGTTAATACCAATAAAAAGGAAGAGCTTAGAGGTCTCTTGAAAGGAAGTAGTTTTCAGAGGGGCTTGTACAAAAGGCAGAAAGGACATACGCTAAAGACAAAAGTGCACCTGCATGACCAGTGTCAGGAAGGGGACATCCCAAACTAAAGGATAATGCTGAGGACAACACAAAGCCACACACACACACACAAACACACACAGAGTTATGTTCTTAATAAGAAAAACAAAGAAAAAATGGACTTGATTCCATGGATGCCTCTGACAGGTACAAAAAATTTAGGACAGTAGTCCCCCAAAGTGCTTGCTATAAATTAACTTTAAGGAATCAGGAAAATCAAATGTTTCTAGAAAACTGGAACCATTTCCTTCTTGATTTTCAAAACGGCAAAAGTGTGATAGATTCAATAAATTTTAGTCTATTGAGTTTGGGGCCAACTCTATGATGGTTTGCAAGAAGCTAGGAGACAAAGTAGTGGGGATTGGTGTCCTCGAGGAGTGAGTCACATTAGATTGGCCTTATTGGTTTGGCCAGGAATGTGTCTTGTGGTAGACCAGGTAAATCCACATTTCACTGAAGTGTTGCAAAAACGTTGCTTGGGATAATCTTGTAGACAAGATGGAGGAATGTAAGATGAAGATACTGAAATTGCATATTGGTGCCTGACCGAGTTCAGAGTTTAGGTACATATTGTCATGGATAAGTGTTTTGTGTGCCATATGTCACCTGTGCATACGTGCTGACACACTGGGTGTTTGGGTAAGGGGAGTCAGTGTGTGTATCATGCATACGTGGAGAGGGGATGTGTTTGTGTGTGTGCCCTGGTGTGCACCCACATCTGCTATTGCTTCTGCTTAGATGAAGGGTTTCTTCTAGACTCCATATCTCGGTGTTGACACAACAGTATGGCACAAAGGAGCTGTTGGGGATTTGTTCGAACTGCCAGACAGGCACCTGGATGGGGCAGGCCTGAGGAAAATTGCCATGTCTTTTGGTTCTGGTGAGGAAAGTGGAGGGCTGTCGACAGTGACCACTGGGTGCCACCTCCTCCCTGCCCCATGCACCTCTGTGCTGTTCTCTTAAGGAGTTCTGCATCTGAGAGCTGTCTGACCTGGAGCACTTTTCTCTTCTTTCTTTTCCTTCCTACAGTCGGTTCTGAATGTGATCAGTGAGCTGCAGGAGCAGATGTGTAGGCTGCAGCTGGACATCCACAGGCAGATTCAAGAGCGCCTGTTACACAGTAGGGACCACCCTGAGGAGGTGGCGGCCAGTGACGGTGTGGCCGAGTCCCAGTCCTGCGGCCAGGACTGTGCCTGTTGGGAGGGGTCACCTGTAGGAACCACACTTAAGTATATCAGAGCATGCGTGTGTGGGGCATTTCACTCGTGGAGGGGCTGGGGTTTCTCCTAACCAGAACAGAGTGCAGTGGCTTGGCATGGATCTGTTGTTACCTCTGGGCAGAGCTTGGACTCACTCAGTCCTCTTGGGATGTGAAGTGAGCTCAGTGACCCTCACTGAGCAGGGTCTGAGCAGGTGAGGCCAACCCTCAAACAGGTGGCACTCATCTCCTTAAGGGCTGGGAATGAGGTGCACCAGGTGCTCTGAGTGATGGGGTATTTGTGCCACAGGAAGCCTCATGATTCCCCTTCCCATGTATATGACTCAGATACTGATTCCTCCTCCCAGGCTGGGAGATTAAACAAAGTTTTGTTTCACATGATTTTTTTTTTTAAGGAAAAAAAAGTATTATGAAAAAGAATCCTTTCAAGTTTATGTTTACCCCCAGTGAAAAAATAAAATGCAAGTTTTCATGTGCTGTGAATAATTAAGTCGTCATCTCAATTTCCAGGAAAAATCCCCCCCACATCATCACATCAGGCTGATTTTATAACCACTGAGCCACACGGGGGTGTATCTGACTGGGACTCTGGACTTGGCTTTCCACATGGGGATGACCTGGTCCTCTGTGACTTTGCTCATGGCAGGTGATAGCAGCTTCAGCAGAGACAAGTCTATGCCTCCAAGGAGACCTACTGTTGAAAAGGACTTGGAAGCTCCCCAAGAAAAGACCGAGGTCACAGCAGCCATGAGTACTACAGAGGGTACCCTGGCTCTGTAGGAAGTTACTATGGTCCATACTCAATTAGAGAGCCTGTTGAAAATCTAGACATAGGTGTTGGGGGGAGGGATTCGGTGGGAAAGATTTCCTGCTGCATTAAAGGACAGGGGGAAAATAGGAAAGTCAAGATGTAAATGTAGATTTGGATAGAGAAGCCTTGAGAGTGTGTTGGCACATGATCTATGTTGAGTAGGTTACTCCAGCAAGACTTTTAAAGGAAGGTAAAATGTGCATGTACTCATGTTGGTAGTCAGTGATGGACAACAAGTAACATGGAAGGAAGAGGATGTTCCAGAGGTCACAGAGCCTGGAGAGGATGATCGCTGTGTACCCACAGTGGCAGCTCCTCAGGCAGTAGGAACCTGCATACTTCTGATTCTGATATCAGCTGGCCTGACACCCTCTCCAACAGACTGAGTAACCTGGCTAGGATACAAGGCTGAGCAGAAGAACCCCCAACTTGTGGGCATTGGAGCCTCTCAGGCAGGGCCAATAATGTTCTCAGAGAATGATTCAGGGTCTGCTGCAAGTCAAAGCAGGTAACTGAGGCCTTGATATCCAGTGATGCAGATCATGGATGCAATAGCCTTAGCTGAGAAGTTTCCTTTTTCGGCCTCTCAAAGTGTTGGGATTACAGGCGTGAACCACCATGCCTGGCCGGAAGTTTTCTTTGTTTTGTTTTTAATGGGCATCAGCAAATGCTCACCTCAGCTAGAAGGCAATCTTAATTAATGACCCTACGAAATTCAAGGGTAAGCAATGTCACTTCGTGGTGGATTATCTCAGAAGGCCAAGACCTCCAGGCCAGTTAAATAATGACTTGAGTTTCATGTGTGCATTCATTGACAAATTGTGCATACCTACTATGTGCCAGGCACTGCAGGATAATCAGAGGTTAGCAAATGCCTCATGGAGTTTACAGCTTAGGAGGAGAGCTAGCTGTTAGCTGTCATACAAATAAATATTTAATTGCATATTATGTAGGAAGTACAAGAGAATATAGCAGAGGGGCCTGATATAGTATGGAGGTCAGGATAGATTTACTCAGGGAGACCTGAAGGATGGGCAGGAGTTAACCTGGCAGAAAATTCCAGACAGAGGGAATGTTACCTGCAAAGACCTAAATTGGAGAGAGGAACTGAAAATTATCCATGTGGCTAGAGCATAACTAGGGAGAAAGAGTGATCCAAGAGGCAGGCAGGGAGGTGTCAGGTCATGGGTTGAAGTTTATGAGCTTTGAGAAGCATGGGAGTGCCGTGATCTAATGTATGGTTTGATCATATCACTCCCCCAGATGCCACAGGGTCAACTGCTTTGAGAGGAGCAAGACAACCGAGAAGCAACCAATGAATTGACTGTCCAGGCTGTCAGTGCTAATTGCTAGACCAGAGTGGTGGTGCCTGAGTGGGAAAGAAATGCAACATTCAAGTCGTTTTCCTGGAAGTAGAATTAATAAAACTTGGGGATGAATTGCATACAAAGGGGAGGAAGGAGAGGGAGATGCTGAGGATAGATCCTATGTTTCTGGATAAGCTGTTAGATCGATGGATGTGGCATTTAGTAAGATGAGAGTAACTAGGAGAGGAGTTGAGGATTCCACCTGGCACATGACAGTCCGGAGATGCCTGTGCAGCATCCATGTGATGTTAAGTAGGAAGTTTGTTGTATGAGACTGCAGTTCAGAAAGCCTATGGAAATAATTATCTTTATGCCAATTCTTCTGATGGGAGCTAGTCAGCAGGACTAATTGTCTGTTAAGGGAATCTTGGTTCAAGATAACAGTGCTTAGTGGAGTCATCTTTATAGAAGGAGCAGTTTCACAAACAAGGGTCCTGGAGTCAGAATATAGGGGCTTGAATTCCATGTAAGAGAAAATTGTTTGTGTCACCTCCCCACTCAGCAACCTTCAGTGAATCACTACTGTCCAAAGAATGGCATCAGAACTCATCATATGTATTCTCATCCTCAAGCCTTTACCTTAGGGCCTCACCTTAACTTCCCAGCCTCATCTTCCACTGTGTACCTACACCCATCCTCAGCTCCAGCCCCATGAGTTATCTCCCTTTCTGTCTCCTATCTTTACTCTTCCCTGGATGCTTTCTCCCTCCCTCCTTTCTTCAAACCATTATCTTCCTCTGAACTGGAACACCCATTATGGCATCTATATTTGGCCCTTAACGTTTGTTCCCTTAGGGTTTCATTTTTTTCCTCTATGAGGCCTTCCAGGATCACAGGCCCCTTCTTCTATCTTCCTTCACTCCCAGCACAGAGAGATGCTCCCAATTAGCCTGCTTCCTACTACTTTGCATCACAGGGAAGAAGCTGCCTCATTTCAGCAGCTCTGTTCTTCCCACTCCAAAGCCTCGCCTGCCTGCCTATACTCATGCGTGTGATGCTGGCATACCCCGCAGAGGACATAGATGTCAGAGAAAGGGGCAGGCAGAACAGGTTCTAAAACTAAAAGGAAAGTTTTCACTTTCTTATGTCTGGAATGCGCTGGCCTTTGTTTTTTAACGGCCATACAGCTTTCCTGAAACAAGGGACATGTTTAAAGATTAAAGCTGCTATGTGGAGCTTGATGTGGTTGCTGCATCCCCTATGCATGAGCTTAACCAGGTTGGTAAATCGAGAGCACATCTTTTAACCATCAGAACTTTGTCTTTCTCCCTCATCCCTCTAGGAGTTACTGCAAGAGCTCAGGCACCTCAAAATCAAAGTGGAAGAATTGGAAAATGAACGGAATCAGTATGAATGGAAGCTAAAGGCCACAAAGGTAAACGGCACACCTGATGCTTATTGAGAGAGTACGAGGGCCTTGTGGAGAAGGTCTGCGTTCCAACTTGGGGGTTTCCAGTAGCCTAAGTTTGAAAATGCAAATCAGCCCTCCAGTGTGGACACACAACAGTGCCCAGATTGTGCAGCAGACAGACTTGATCCAGGAAAGATCCTCATGGAGAAAGCCTGTGAGATTATGAATTGCTCAAGTGTAGTAACCCAGTCTGCTTCCTCTCCCTGCACCCCATAACGCCTGGCTGAAGCTGGACCAAGAAGCGGCTAGGAGTGGGGGGAGCAAGTGAGTGGCAAGCAGTTAGTCATGAGTCCTAAAGCAGATGTTGGATGCATCATTTTAAATTCAGTAGTCCCTTCTAGAATCAGTTTTTCAAAAAATAGGCATGCTTTATATTTGGCACAAAATATAATCCTAAAAATGATATAAGCTTCGAATTATTTCTTCAATCAAATCATGTTTCTCTTAAACTAGGGAGCCTGCAATTTAAAGGACACCAAAAATAAATTCTATTGTGAAATAAATTTCTTCCCTCCCCCCTTTGTTTCTTCCTTCTTTTCCTATACTAAAGTGCAGAGATCAAAACTAGTGGGTTACTTGTAGCCCATGAATTTTTTTGGCCTGCACATTGGATTTTAAAACGGTGAATTGTAATTTAAATTTCAGGAAGTTTACATTAGGCTACAGTTAGGTTTCCTTTGGGGAGTATGGGGAGATGGGAGGCTCACACCTGCCTTCCCCTACTGTGTCTGCGGTGCCACCCAAGGGCATTACTGGATCGTTTTTATTAGAATTTTCTTAACTTCTACTTTGTATTTTTATTTTTTGTGCAAGTTAATTGCTAATTATTATAAAAACAGTAACACACACTATAGAGAATGTTCAAAATGTAAAAAATTAAAGGAATCAAAAGCACTCATACCACCTAGGTACTACCAGTGCTAATATTTCCTTCCATGTATTCTCTTCTGTGTCAGGCCATTCTTGCATTGCTACAAGTAAATAGCTTAGACTAGGTAATTTATAAAGAAGAGCTTTAATTGGCTCAGGGTACTGCAGGTTTTACAGGAAGCATGCTGGTCGCATCTGCTCAGCTTCTAGTGAAGCCTTAGGGAGTTTTCAGTCATGGCAGAAGGCAAAAGCAGGAGTAAGTGAGAGAGAGGAGAGGAGGTGCCACAAACTTTTAAACAACCTCATCTCGTGAGAACTCACTCACAATTGTGAGGGCAGCACCAAGAGGGTGGCACCACCATTCATGAGAAATCTACCCTCATGATCCAGTCACCTCCTACCAGGGCCCACCTCCAATACTGGGGATTACAATTCAACATGAGATTTGGCAGGAAGAAATATTCAAACATCACGGTCTCCCTATCTCTGTCTCTTAATTTTTATTGTTGATAATTTATATGCAATTTTATATCATGCTATTATTTAAAATTTTATGACTTCTCATGTTATCAAAATAAAGCACTGAACATATGTAAATATGTAATCTAGTGTATAAATGTAAAATAATTTGATTAATCATTTTACAGATAATGAAATGGATGCACAGAGAGATTTAACTTTCCCAAGATTTTACAGCTATTTGGTACCAAGCCTAGGCAATCAGACCCATCTGTGTCCTGGCCTGTGTGTATCTGAGTGTAGTTGTGTATGTGTATGCTTCACAGGCACCAGCTCTAGGGGCACTGTCCAGTAGCTCAGAACCTTCCATCACAATGCCCCACTCAAACAAGCCCTGTCTTGGGGAAACCTTTGAAGTTGTACACCCTCTGTCATAAAACCAAATAACACTTTTCTTTTTAAATTACCCCAGCTCTTTGCCTTGGCATGTAGACCTTTGAGATGCTAAGGGTTATTTAATAACTACCAGGTGTGGAGCACTTCCTATGTGCCAGAATGTACCAAGCTATTTGCACACATTTGATCATATAATCCATAAAATCACCTAGTGAGGTATATGTTTTTTTATTCTCACTTGACTGGGAAGGAAACAGAGGCTCAGCGTGGTCAAGCTGAGATTCACATCTGGGTCTGTGTCATTCCTGTGCCTTTATGTTGTTTCCAACATCATCCTGATTCCCTGCAGAGAAAACCAGCACTGTTTTTGGAAGTTTTTCACTTTTCTGCTTAAGGCCTCTCAGTCCCTGAAGGGGATTCATCTCCCAGTGCAATGACAGTAGGGCATGGTCCCTGGGTTTAATGAGGCACAGCACCTGCAGGGACCCAGACAGTAGCATACACAGTCAAGTGGCGGTAGCATACACAGTCAAGTAGGTCTCTGGACTGTTCTTGGCCTTCCCAACTGCGGGGACAGAGATCGTTCAAAGGATAACAGAGCCCCTATAGTGTCTGACCTATTTCTGTGGAAATTGGCACAAGGCAGGTTGGACCCAGTCACTTGGTCTGTAGGGTCCATTGTATATACCTACAGGACCTCCCCTAGAGGCAGGGCTCAGGAAGAAGAGCCTCATAGTGCCAGGTGCTAGATTCTGTCTTGATCAGTACACACTGCTGAATTCCCAACTGTGGGGCCAGCAGACAAGCATCAGGTATCCAGACTTCTGACAGAGACCAGTGCCCATCCTGTCCACAAAGAAAGGGAGAAATGGGTATGGAGAGGTGCAAGAAAAGGTAAAGGAATATCTTTCAAGAATCATCTGGCCTTTGTAGAAATGGAGGTTGAGAGTCCCAAAGCTAATATCTTCAGAAGCCATTGCCACCATGAGTCATAAGCCCATGGGCATCTTTGCCCTGAGTGAGCTCTGATAAACTGCTCCATCGCTGCATGTCTCAGCAAGCGGGTTGCACAGCAGGACCCAGCTCTTGGCCTCTGTGAGTAGAGGGGCAGTGCTTCATTATGAACTTTGGAATAAGGAAACCCTACCCCTTGTCATCTCTTTATATGGTCATCTCTGTCCTATTTGGGGGATATTAGGGAAGGTGGTTCAGAAACCCTTGAGGTGGGCTCAGGGAGCCCAAGCCTGGTAAGAGTGGCCTTCATCTGTCCTGTTAACTCAGAAGCAGACATGCGGTGGTGGGTGGAGCCCTGACACTGGAGCAAGCAGGCCAGGGTTTGCATCCTGGCCTGGTCACCGAGTAGCTCTGTGACTGACACAGAATCTTGTATTACTCCCGTTTTCTCCCTGATGACTTACAGAGATACTGTTTCCTCAGGTGGTTTCTTGTGAGGATTTGATGTAAGCAAGTGAGCGCAGGGGCTGATCAGGGTGGGTGCTCAGTCTTTGTGCTGAAACTGAACACAAGGCCTGTCCAGCAACAGAGTTGCCAACAGGGCCAGTATTCACTTAATTACTTGGGGTTGTTCAAATATTAACTTGGGCCTTTGTGGAAATGAACAGCTCATACTATGACCTTGAGGACCAAAGGTGGGACATGATAGGGCCAACACATGGGGAAGGGGTGGCCAGAGGAGAAGCCTTTGCTGTCTTTTATTGACCAACTCCACATTCGATGCTCATCCCTTTTCTTACCTGGTTTGATGCAGAGAGAATTGAACCAATTATCCACAAAGAAAAGAATAGGATGAGAGGAGCAAATAGCAGTAGCATTTATTGAGCACTTAGTATATACTAAATATTGGATTAGGTCGTTCATAACCATTATCTTAAGCCTCATTGCAGTCCCATGAAGTAGGTGTAGTTTTTCCCATTTTATAGGTGAGCTGAGACTCAGAAAGGTTAACTTACTTGCCCAAGGTCACCCAACTAAAGAGAATCAAGGTTTGTTTGACTCCAAAATCCAGGTACCTCTTGGGACAGGACCTATACAATTCTGATCTCCTAATGAGTATGGGAAAGCATGAACAACCACACCTAGTGTTGTGTATGAAATTTAACCTGCACTACTTAATTGCGACATGGGAACCATCTAGTGCAGCTGCCTGTGTGTGTGCAAATATGAATGTATGTGTGTACTTATGAGCTGTGTATACATGCTTTTTTGCCAAAGTCTGTAAATTAAGCACTCCTGAATGTTTGTACATCTATATATGAGTGAACATGCACACATGCCTGGAGGTTGGAGAGAGGCAGTGACTGTGCCCAAAGGGTAGGAGCGTGTTGAAGGAGGGAGCCCTTGGCTTACCTTTTCTCCACCAGTGGTGATTTGGCTTCTGCTGTATTTTCTGTGTGGGTTGGAAAGATGAAAGCTGCATGCACTTGTTACAGTGGTGTCTCTAAATGTTATTGCATGAGTATCTTAGGAGAAGGAAGACCACATCCAGAATATCCTCCTCTGCACCAAGGACAGCCCTCCCATTGCACAGAATCCCAACTCCTCATCACAATCTCAGTCCTCACAGGGCAGGGGAGAGAAAACCTGGTCAGGTAGGAAGATGCAGGGGAAGAAGCACATTGATGTCCAGAGCTGTGGGGGAGGGCCAAGATGGCCTAGAAGAGTGAGTTCAGTCAGCAGAGTTCCACCTGTGGAGACGGCAGTGAGCCCCTGCTACTGCTCACCTCTTCTTCTAACTCCTGATGCACCCTGGTGCCTGATGGGCTCTGGACTCTGACGAGAGGCACTTCATCATGATTTAGCAGTCCTTCTGACCTGGTAGGGATCCTCTGTTGCTTTTCCAGGCTGAAGTCGCCCAGCTGCAAGAACAGGTGGCCCTGAAAGATGCAGAAATTGAGCGTCTGCACAGCCAGCTCTCCCGGACAGCAGCTCTCCACGGTGACCACACAGAGAGAGGTGACTAGCTTGACTGTGACAAAATGCAGTTGTCTGGGTCCCCGGGCCTACTCTTATAAGTGAGCATGTTTTTCTATAAATGAGTGTGCATATGCTTGTGTGTGTAGCCATGCTAATAGACATGCATATATGTGTGCAAACATGGCCAAGTGGATGGATGCACCAGTTTGTGTGTTTGTGTGTGTCCCTACAATACAGCACTATTGTGGAATCATTCCCATGGAACTCTCCCCTAACTAGAAGGCTTTTTTCAGATGCACAGAAGTTCTGTGCAGCCACCTCTGGAGCTTTTACTGAAAATGCAGGAAATACCTAACTCTCTCATTTGATTGAAAGGCCTTACTTCTGTATCATCACCAAAGGGGAGGCTTTAGCAATTTATTCAGTCGTTTCATGGATATCTGCCTGATGCTTGTATAAGGCCCTGAGATTACAGAAACAAGTCAGTTCTTTTTCATTCTTGAGGTTTCAAATCTTACCTCTCAGAAACACCTTTCCTGGCCGTCCTAACTCAAATAGGTGGCCCCAGTCCTATTATTCTCTAACTCAATATCCTTTCTTTTTCCTGCCTAGCACTTATTATAACTTACCAGTATTGTGTGTTATCCCCACTCTGGGGCAAGGACTATATGTTTCTTGTTTAAGAGCATATCCACAAAGCCCAGCACAATATTTGGCCCATTGTAGAAATATTTCTTGTGGAAATATTTCTTGTGGAAATATTTCATTGTAGAAATATTTCCCTAAGAAATATTTCTTGAATAAGTGAAAGGATGGTGAATGGTCCCTGAGGAGTTCAAGTCTTGCTGATCAAAAATAGAGGATAAATCCTCAACTACTGTAATGAACACATAAATCTTTATGGCTGCTTGCCATGTATACAAAATGATCACACACCTTTCAACTTCTCCACTCACTACCAGGCTGCAGAGCAATGCTGAAGATCATATAGTCCTACGGGTTGGTGTCACTACCTAGTCACATCCTGGCCTCAGCACTGCTTAGCTTGGATCCCCAGCTGGGGTGTGGAAGCCATGCAACAGTGGCTTAGGCTGGAGAAGGAAATTAGTTATCAACATGCTCATCCCTCTCCTAGCTTTTCTCAGTGTCCGCCCAAGTCATTGGCTGTGTTGCCTACCTGCCAAGGCCTGCTTGTAGAGGCGGGGCTCTACCAAGACACCCTGGACTATCTCTGATGCTAAGCCTGGACAGAGAGTGCCCCATGTCATGACTTCTAGGCCAGGCAGCCTTCCCAGTCTACCCCTCCTCTCCCCACAGTCTGAGCCTCCCAGGCCCTACCCCACTCCATTACTGGGTACTTTCTAGAGCTGATCCTTGGGTCATTTGCTGTCGAAGTTAGGTTCTGACCAGTGGATCAGGGTTTGCCAGTCTTCATATGGAGCTTACTGCCCTCCCCAGCAAAGTGAGCTGCAGAGCTGATATTAGCTACCCAGAGCCTAAATAATGAGCAAGCGATTATCCACTTTATTCTGAAAATTAATCTCCACAACTATTTACACAAAGTCCATAGATCTACTGTTGCTATTCTTGTTAGATGTAACAAGCATCCCAAAAGAAAATGGGAGGCCTATATATTCCCTTGACTCTTGTACTTTTTTTTGATATAGACATCCCTATTCCCATTTAGGAAGAGGCATAGATCCTTCTTTGAACAATCTAGCTATGTGCCAGTTCCTAGAGTATCTGGCAAATGACCTCCAGCTTCCTTAGGCTCTCCAAAACAGTTAAGGAATCAACAGAGTCCCTGTTGGGTCCAAACTGAGAGAAGGCTGTGGGTTTTCCACCACAGACTGACAGATTTCTCAGCCCATAGGGAAATTCTGGTTTATGATGAAATAAGATTGTTTATCCTTAACCCAGCATTTGCATATATATATATATCCCAATACATCTAAACATTTGTTAGTCAGTTTTGACTATATCATTTCAAATTAAGCCAAGTACCAACTCTTTTACATAATTTTTATTTCCCAGTCTTCACTCAACTGTAGATTCTTTTAATGTTAAATTCTCCTCTTTCTACAATTTGTCAGACTGTATGATTTTCTTCAAAGCCAGCCAGAAGCCCAGGTACATGCCTACTCAAGTTGTAAAGGATAAAAATGTCTATATTCTTAGGAGATGTTGGTTTTGAAAGATTTTTGGCTTCCTCTGTGTCACCTCAAGTACATGGGCATTTTGATTTTGCCCATAAATGTCTGTAAAGAGAAGACAGCATACTGGATTCCTTCATTTCATAGTCTAGCAAATATTTAAGGAGAACGAGTCTGTGGCAGACACCATCCTGGCCTCTTTAAAGAACTAAAAGAGCGATGTTCAGGAAAGTCTTCATTTGAACTTGGGAGGCATCATAGCAAGTGTGGATAGCTGTTTGCATTTATATAAATAATTATTTCTATACCTGAATTCTTTTAGACCAAGAAATTCAACGTCTGAAAATGGGGATGGAAACTTTGCTGCTTGCCAATGAAGATAAGGTAAGATGGTCATTGGGTAGCCTTGTCTTTTCCATGCTTACATCCCTGGCTCTGTTTGGTCCCTGCTGGTCTCTGATATTCTGGACAGGGCCATGCTTATTATGCCGTTGACACAGGGGTATGTCAGGAGAATGACTTATGCCTCCTAGAGACCTGGCCTCAGCCACCTGTTTTTGGCTTTGAGAAATGGGAAGTTTGTCTAAATGGAATCTCCTAAAGGCAGATTATAGCCCTGCCTGTTCCTGCTGGTGTGGGGGGAAAAAAATACTGCTGCTGCTGTGATCACTGCCAATATCATAGCTCTTGCTGGAATTCCTAGCAAAATAGCCCCCCCAATCTCCCATATGCATGATCTGACAATAGAACCATCATAGAGACACTTGGCAGCATGCCATGCCTCAGTTTACTCTGCCATCTTATATCCTTTGCATCTAATTTTGGCACAGTCATAAATAGCCACCTCTATAAATAAAGAGTACCTAGCTGGTATAAACATCATCTCTGAGGATCACAACCCTTCATTTTACAGATGAGGAAACAGACTCAGAGTACTTAAGTAATTTGGCCTAAGGTCAGGTAACTAGTAAATAGCACAGCCAGCTTTCACACCCAAGTTTATCTACGACCTGTGTGGTCTCCCAAGTTCCTTTCAAGGCCTTTGCCTTGAATGAAACAATCTTCTCTGGGAATTTACTCTGCAGTATGAGGTATCTCAGACTCCTAGGGAACAAATGAGTATATTGGGATAAATATGACAGCTTTATTTTAGTCTTTTTTTGTGTCGCTCCAGTGGGCAACACTAGGACCAGGAGCCAGATTTCAATGACCACTTCAGGAAGGTAGGAAGACAGTGAGTTTCATGCTTCTGAAAATGTTTAAGCCCTGTGAAGGGTGTCTCAGATGACTCACAGTCTTCAGGTAGAGTCGTGAATGCCTGCAGATGCCTATGAGGCAGACCACTGAAATCCCAGCTCTGTGGAATGGGGCCTGGACACTCTTTTCCTTTGGTTCCACGTGGGATTTCTTCTCCTTGTGCCCAGAACATAGTGTGGGTCCCAAAATGAAATCATCTGAGCTGCCAGCGTAGCATTAATCTAAATCTCTGCTCACACTGTGGCAGGACCGTCGGATAGAGGAGCTTACGGGGCTGTTAAACCAGTACCGGAAGGTAAAGGAGATTGTGGTGGTCACTCAAGGTAAGAGCAAGGGCAGTCCTTCATTGTCTCTGAAAGATATTCCATCAGCTGTGTTAAATCCAGGGGCAGTCCTGCTAGCAGCCGTTTCACTTCTGTTTCGGAGAAGACTCCCTACTGGAGAACAGAGCTGTTTAGACTTTTCTGCATGATGAGAAATTAGCAGTTGTTGATTTCCAGAAATACTACCAAATGGAAGTCAGCTCAGGGCCTTCAGGGACTATCCAGATCACCAAGAATATAAAGCCTGTGAATTCCCCATCCTTGGAGGGTCTCTTATGCACCTTCCCAGGACACACCTTAGAGGCAGCAAGTGCAATTAAACCTGGATCAAAAATCAACTCAGTGCTGTCATTGAGGATTAGAGCTCATCCACCTCCTAGAAAATCTAAAGCTCTGCAGCAGACTCAGAGGGCCTTCTGGGAGCCTTCTTCGAGTTGCTGGGCCTGAGTTGCTATAGGAAGTCACAGGACAGAGAGAGCTGCTGTGTTTTATATTTGCTGCCCAGACTGAATGCAACATGCAAGCAGCATCAGGGTTCTTATGGGCATAGTGGTGCATGTGCCAGGCTGCCTTCACTGTTCATGCCATTGACCTGGGCTCCCATCATAGATCCTGAGGAAGCAGCTGTTTCACACACAGGGCTGCTTTGAAGGATATTCAGGAACCTCTGATTCTGGCTGAGCTTCTGCCTCTTCTTGGGAAGAAGCCAAGCCTCTGCCAGGATGTGGCTGACTGGTCACTGACCAGGGCCTCTGCCAGCCCTCACACACAGCCCTCTTTTTTTTTTTTTTTTTTTTGAGATGGAGTGTCACTCTGTCACCCAGGTTGGAGTGCAGTGGCACAATCTCAGCTCACTGTAACCTCTGCCTCCCAACTTTAAGCAATTCTTATGCCTCAGCCTCCTGAGTAGCTGGGATTACAGGCACCTGCCTGTAATTTTTGTATTTTTAGTGGAGATGGGGTTTCAACATGTTGACCAGGCTAGTCTGGAACTCCTGACCTCAAGTGATCTGCCTGCCTCAGCCTCCCAAAGTGCTGAGATTATAGGCGTGAGCCACTGCACCTGGCCTCACAGCCCTCTTTTTAAGATCATGGATCAAGCCACTCTCAGGGCTTTGATTGCCTGTAGCTAAGGAGTGAGAAGTTTGGAGGCAGGGGGTACCTTACCTCTGTTCTGCAAATAAACTTTGACCTTGAAATGATCCTGATGCCAGCCCTTGCTCAGATGCCCTGAAGATTCTTCAGAATCACACTCTTACTGTCCCTTTATATATTTCTTAGTCCTTCTTAATGAAGGAGAAACAATGTTAAAATTTTGCGGTATGATTATAAGTTTCTAAACAATTCACTTAGTATGAATTCAACAATTCACTCTTACTGCATTAATGCTTGCAGGGCCTTCAGAGAGAACTCTCTCAATCAATGAAGAAGAACTGGAGGGAGGTTTCAGAAAGTGGAACACTACAAATAAGGGCCCTGAAGAATTATTTAAACAAGAGGTACTGTGTTTCCATCCATGATGTAGGGCTTCAGCAGCTCCTCCGAGCTTCCCCTGAGCTTGAGGGAGGATCTAGTCAGACAGGTGTCAGGTACATATCTTGGCAGATGAATACTTAAATTTACTAAAGTGCCCCTCAGGCTGTGGTGGGGATAGGGGAGCAAGAGGCTGAGGCTCTGGCCTGTGCTCTGGTTGGAGGCAGCGTGGTGGATACTGGAACTTTCAAGGATAGGAGTTCTTTTAATCAGGCTGCTAGCTTATTTTTATCTTTTTTTTTTCCTCTGGAATGTACGCATAGACCAAAGGTAGTGTTTGATTTATCTACCGCCCTTTCTCCAAAGTCTGCAGTAATGCCTGATACCCAGTAGAATTCAACAAATATTTGTTGAATGAACGAACATGTCTTGCTCATTTAGAGGAATTAACTGCAGCCTCTGAAATGCTGCATTCCTTCCTGACAGATATGCCCTTCAGCCCCTATAGCCAGGACACAGATTTTCCTTCTCATCTATTTCGTTTGTTTAAAATCTGGTCCTATTGTATGACTCTCTCTAGACTTAAGCTAGATGCAAATAAACAAAACCTCAGGTGAAGGAGGGGCTTCAGCCTAGGGTCCAAGAGATTCCTGAAACTTCAGACTATCAAACTGAAAAGAATCTTAGTGCTTCAGTTCAACCTTTTAAATTAAGGAGCAAAAGCATCATCCAGTGAGCCAGTTATTGACTCAGAACAAGCACACCAGATTGCTGGCAATTACAGAATAGCGGTGTCCAAGTCTTACTGTATACCTCTGTGTGGTCACTGTGATGAACACTCTATCTGGCAGAATCTGGACTTGAACCCAGGTCTGACCACAAAGCCTAGGCTTTTAAAACTATACTGTAATGCCAGGGTTGTTCTTATAGTAGACCAAGAGGATGCTAGGATCTAGAGAAAAGAGGCAGTACTGGAGACTGTGTTCTTTCATAACCACCATTAGCTCAAGGTGGCTCCACCTGTGATGCTAGGTGCACTACTGAAGGCACAGTGTTGTGCTAGGTGCAATCCAAGACACGGGACTGTATTCTTTCATACCATCATTAGCTCGTGGTCGTTCCACCTATAATGTTCTTTCCTTTCTTGCCTTAACCAGTTTTCATTTCTCAAAATTCAGCTCAGCTGTTCTCCTCTCCAAAGCTTTCTCAGCCGTCCCATCAGTGAGAGGGAGCCCCTCTCTCCCACTATTCCCATATTGTGTTACAGGTGTTGGAGCCAAAAGAGCATTGCACATTGTTCTGTTCTCCTAATTTACTTGTCTGTCTCCCAGATGTGGGGAGTGCTAGCTCCAGACCTGGCACAGGGCCTGGCAGGGAGTAGATGTTGCTGATGTTTATTGGGTGACCATATCAAATGGGATTCTCTCATTGAAAGCAACAAAATTTGGCTCTGGCTAACCTAAGCCAAAAATAATTGTTTTTAAAAGAGTGTGCAGTGGCTTGCTGAATGAAAGGAAAAGCTGAAGAACCAAGCTCAGGAAGGGAAGGAGCAGAAAAAGCCCAAGAACCCAGGTCTCAGGACTCTACTGCTGGGATATGAACATAATCTAAGCTCTAGGGCCCAGGAAGGAGAGGCAAGCTGGCCCAGATGGACTGATAGGCCTACCATGCCCCCTTGGCATCTTGAAAGAGCAAGGCATCTATAATGATGTATCCACTATGGCTGTACCCAGGGAGGAAATATCTCCCTAAAAGGAATCATGTAAAGAAGGGGGAAAGATGGTGGGTGGTCCCCAAACAGACTGTCCTCTACCATGACTCTTCTGTCTCTGATGCAGATGCCTCCGAGATGTAGCTCTCCTACAGTGGGGCCACCTCCACTGCCACAGAAATCACTGGAAGCCAGGTAAGAGACCTGGGCATTTCCCCACAGCCACTGTGCTCTCAGGCTTGCCTTGGGGCTGCCGAAGTGGATGGTGAGGGCCATGCATGGTAAGCATGGCCACTGCATCCTAGGTGCACCTGCCCATCTGTTGTTAGGGCAGTTACAAACCAAACCTACCTCTTTTGGCCACAGAAGGGCTTCTCATCCTTCAGGTTGAGGGTGTGGATCATTGTCACTGAGAAAGGAGCTGGCCAGGGATTGGAGCGTCAGAGGAGAGGTGGCTGCAACTCATCTGTGTCTTACAACAGCTCCTCAGCTGAGAGCATCGTGTGATGTGTGTTGCTTTTGTCAGCCTCTGCTTCCTGCTCTTAGAGCGAATTTAGCCCTTTGGCAATCAAAGCTCTCTAGGGATGGCCATGTCTTCTCATAGCAATTGGTCTAATTGCTTTAGGGATGCTTCACAACAATGAACTAATAATGGGCTCACCTCTGAGGTCATTTGACTGCCATCTCTCTTGTTCCCTCTAAAATAAACCTAAATCTAGTTCCCTAGGCCTGCACTTTAGCAAACATTTTGAAATTGAGCCCCATGTAAGGGTAACATGGAGGCTTCACTACAAAGAGCAGGCTGCCTTTCAGCTAAGGTGTTGGGGCAGATGACCACAAGCATCACAGAAACTCCCCAGAATGGTGCTGAGTCTCCAGAGCCTGCACTCTGAGTCCACTTTCCAGAAAGCAGTTGTTCCCTTGAGCCTTTAGCCCAGAGGAAAATGGTAATGTTAAAGAAGTTGATCAGGCAATTCTTAGTTTTGGAGAATAAGAATTGTGGTTTATGAGTTCAGAGAGAAGGTCAATACCAAGGAACTCAGACTGACCAGATTTACAAGAGACTAATATTTGTTTAAATTATGACATTCGTATAAACTGAGAAATATGACTGCCAAGGAGACCTGGCACAGGTTACTCTTGTGACCACTGTTGGCATTGCCTCTTGACACATTTGGTGCCCTTCTCTGCAAAATAGACCCTGAGAGAACCAAATGAGTCTAAGCAGACTAGACGGTCATGCAGATCCAGAGCAGAGTGTGGAAGGGTCCTAGCAGGTGATGTTCTAGAGCCATGGCTGGCTAATGTGTTCATCTGCACTCTGAGGAGGCCCAGGTCCCTGGTCCCTGGATTACTTTTAGACTCAGACAAGCCCAGCATCAGTGCCTTTCCGCTCTTTTGACACTGTAGACCTTGGTCTTTTATGACCACACAATTGTCACCTCAGTGCAGCAGAATTGAGTGTATTCTGGCTTTTTGTGCAATGTCAAGAACATTTCATTTGGATTTAAGTGACCCCCTCATGCCCTTGCTAACACATTATTGATCAGTCTATCCCCCAAGGTGGGCCAGTCTCATTTTGTATGTAAAGGCTATTATGAGAGGGTATTTTTTTTTCAATGACCTTGAACCTAAGCCCAAGACCACTGGTTAAGCATTTGAAATGGCGTCTGCATGAGTGATAACGTGTACCTCCTTCTCATAACTATTTCTTTTGTGTTTTTTTTCAGGGCTCAGAAAAAGCTCTCTTGTAGTCTAGAAGACTTGAGAAGTGAATCTATGGATAAGGTCAGCTCATCAACCTATCCTTAAAGATGACTGAGTTACTTTTTTGGGCCTAGCATAGTACTGGGATATATACAGGCAGGTCCTGGTCCCTACCTTGTAGAGGATTTTATAAAGTTGTGGGAGAACCAGGAATTACATGAACATTTTGAGAAAATTAACCAACTGGGTATGGCCCAAAGCATCTTATAGGAAGGACAATTCAGGAAATGCTGCCTGGAATTGATGAGAGAAGATGTTGAGGTTGGCAAAGCTTGGTTAGAGTCTGCCAGGCACCAGCAGGTTTTGGGAAATGGTGGGGAGTAGGACGAGGTAAGGTCAGAGCCATGAGACAGATCAAGCCAGGGAAGATCTTGACTACTAGTCCTATATCCCTGGGGCACTTGGGGACATCATACAGATTTTTTAATGATGAATTAATGTGAATAAAGGAGATGATCCCAAGGGAAGATGTGGGATCTTCAGGATGTTGGAGAGTAAGCTGTTGTAAGAGTCTATGGAGGAGGGTTTTGTGGCTCCTTATATGGGAGTAGCCCTTGATCATGTGGGTGGACCTCATCCTGCAAGGGATAGTAGCAGGCTCTTGAGCTTGGTCATTAGAGACCAAGGGAACCTGCCCTGATAGAAACCCTTCAGTGAGCCTGTGCTGCATACCATCCCTTGGTCTCCAATAATGTTCATCAGCCTCCTTGTTGATACAGTGGAGAACCATAAACGCTGAAGTTGGCAGGAGCCCTGGGCTTATTCAATGTCTCTGCTCCTGTGGTCACGTGTCTCTTGGTTGCCATGGTCATGTTGCTGGCAGCTCCCCAGGACATCTGTCCATGGAGTGGGACGGGGATCTTTCCTGCCATGGATGATGATTACTTGACATGAAGATGTGGAGGGAGGGGATAAGCCTTTCAGATTTAAGCAAACAGGTAGTCCTGAGTTGTTGCTGTTTGTGAATAACACAAGTCTCTTTTTCTCCACATAAACAAAATCCTCTTGTTACTCCATAGTGTATGGATGGGAACCAGCCCTTCCCGGTGGTAGAACCCAAGGTACATTGACTTCATGCCCCATCGCCTATTTGTGCTTACACTGTTTGCTAGTATTGTAACTTAGCACGTCATAGTTTTCATAACCTTAAAATGTGCTAACTGTAAGGAGTAAGAGGGCAAGAGGAAAGAAGCAACTTTTCTCTCCCATTTTATTTTTATGTGCACTCAGCTATTTAATATGCTTTCACTACCATTATCTGTGGGACAGGATTTATTATTATCACCTCCATTTTGTAGGCTCAGAGAAATTAATCTTTAACAAAGTAATCTAGATTTAATCACTGGGAAGGGGATTGCTACGATCTCAGCACACTGAAGAATGTGATAGCTCTCATCCTTTCTGGAGTGATATGTCATGGTTAAAAAAACACGAGTGTACACTCAGTCCCGCTTTGATGAACAAGTCATGTTATAAAAATTCCATTAGGACTGATTTTCTCCAGGGAAGCCTGTCGTGGAAGAGGATTAAGTTTTTAGGCCAGTGCACAAATGTTGAGCCCATAAAGAAATGAAGATTCATATCATTAGCATTATTTCAGCCACACCCAACGACCATTTATAACATTATATGGAAAATGTATTGTGAGGCTGGTGGCATTTCCCTTCTCTGTCCCCTGCCTCCATGTCCATATGAAACATGGAGCTTCTCATTGCTTTCTGACTTCTGCCTGAGAGGGTCATTTTATGTTTTCACATCCATATGGTGAGTCATATGAGGCATCTCTGCCCCTCCACATCTGTGTAAGAGAAAGATCTTTTCTGCACATTTGCATCTATGTAAGGGGCTTCTCTACACTTCCATATTTGTAGCAGTTGGTGCTTCAAGTGGGCAGCCATTCCTTGGGCCATCTGAACTGTACAGCAAAAGTCTTCTGCCTGCTCCCCTGCCCAGGTGCTCTGGAACACAGGCCCTTGAACCTGGGGTTGGTGTGGTCCCTTTGTGAATTGAAAGGCTTCCTGTGGAGACAGCTGTTAAACCACTCAGCAGTCCCCCCTCCCACCTCAGCTTCACAGAGATCATTCGCAGGTGTTTCTAAAGCACACCTGTAAGTGACCACCTCCACCTTTGGAAACATGCCCAGCTCACAGGCTCAAGGTTTAAGATGCCAATTTGATTACCAAGAAATATGAGTGATGTGGGACTATTTATACAGGAAAAAAATGCTCCAGATTAAAAGATTAATTCTTATATGGTTTTGACCATAATCACAATCTTATACAACCTCAGTTATTCAACATGGTCACCCCTCTCCCCTCACCCACATACACCACTGTCCTCCCCAGAACTGCTCCACAGGTGCAGAACCGTTCCACAGCCATCTTTCTGCAGCATTCCTAACTTTGGTATCTGGCCCTTGCTTAAACTGGCTCTTGCTTTCTGTGACTGAGAGCTCATTTCATTGTAAGACATCCTTTGTATTCTTTTCTACCTCTGTGAGCTTCTCTAAAATGTGCATCTGCTGATCCTCTCTCTCCGTGTCTAGCCCATGGAAAAAGTCAATCTCCTTTACTTCTGACAGCTCTGGAATTTAAGTCCCTCTTGCCCTCTCTGAGTTCTCTGTTCTCTGTGCTGAACATCACCTTCTCATGTGCATGGATCACAAGCCTTTCAAGCTGCTACCTAGTCTTCTTAGGATCAGCATTAGTTTCTCAATGTATTCTTCAAGTTGTGCCCTGGACCAGACTTGGAGTGTGATATTCTAGATGTAGTCTCACCAGCGCCTGCCTTGGTCTAAGGACTGCTCTTCTAGATTGCTGTTTCTTTAGGCCCTGGGTATGTGATATTTCCTGTGTTTTTCTTCTTATCCACTGTCCACTGTGTGCTAGGCCCTGTGGATATGTTATTTCCTGGCAAACTTGAGGCAGGAATTGTTATTCTCCATTTAGAAATGATCAAACAGAGGTCCTGAGAGGTGGAAGAGAAAGAGCTTTGTCTGAGTTGGTCTGACTCAAAGCCTAGGCCCTTTCCATTCTGGAGTGCTGCTTTTGTGTTCTAATTTAAAGCAGCTGGATAATCAGTTCTATACTACTCCCTTGGCTGGGGCTTCTGTTCCCCCACAGCCAGGAGGATTGTTCTTTTTGGAGACTGGAGAAACAGAACTGGAGTTGAGCATCTGCGTCATGTCCTGACATTGCACTGCCTTCCACATCAGTGAGTCATTTCTCCCCAGCTCTTATTCTTGGCCTGAGCAGAGCTCAGAGAGTCCTTTCCATTGTCCTTGATTCCTTTTTGCTATCTTTCTTATAGGTCTGGGCTGCCTTTTAAACCCCATCCTTGGGTTAGGTATGTGTTCTCTTTGCATCTCAGCTCCTCAGGGAGTTCCCCGGGTGGCCCACTTGGCTCCTTGGCTGTCTCTACCCCGCCTGAGGGAGCATACGTGATGATGCAACCAGAAACCTGTTTTTGAGAGCTCTTCCCCCCTCCCATATGTCCTATATAATAGGGAGCTTGGAGTCATGTCCTTCAGGTCTCTAAAATTTTTGAACACTACCTTCTCACCGTCAGTGGTTCCTGGGTTTGACTGCATTCATATAATCTGAGCTAATCTGAGATGCTTGTTAAAAATATAGACATCTGGGGTGTGCTTCCAGAGGGACTGAATCAGGGACTGGGCACAGGAGTGATCTGGGAATTCATGTTGTTTTACAAGTGCTGCAGGTAATTATGAAGAGCAGCCAGCACATGAACTACCATTTGGAAACTGTGGGTCTTGACCACATGTCTGATCATGTCTAATCTTTATGTCATGGGTCATCACAAACTTGAAAATCTCATGGCCTTCCTCTCTTAAGGTTCTAGTTACTTCTCCTCTACCAGCCAGTTCTTCCAGAATTCTTTCAGAATTCAGTTTCCTCTTCCTGTATCTCTCCTTTCTGAATTATTTTTAGGGAGTTATAGTCAATGTTCAATGAATGAACTGAATCTCAAACAATTTCTAGGACATACATTTATAAGCAAATTGAATTGGAAATATATTGGATATTTGGCTTTTAGCTAAATGGAACTTCAGAAGATGTCTCAGTCACAGCAGCCTTCCCTTACTGTTCTGACTTGTCAGTTTGAAATCTGTTTGTTTTTCATATTACTTTTCTTCTGGATCTAATCAGGTGATCCACAGCTGATTCCTTTAGTGACATTGCTTCAATTTCTCTTTTCTTTTATTCTCACTTTCACAGTACATTCCACTGTGTTTCTCTTGGGTTTGCAGATTTAGAGGCCATTATATGCCTCTTTACCAAATAAGTGCTATCTCCTTCCTCATTTAATCAACTTGTTTCTTTCAGACCTTTCCATGGCCAGGGTCCAAGCATGGAGCTGGCTGCACTGAGGCTCTACCTCATGCAGACTATGATCCTAAGTTCCCAAAAGAGCTCTGTTGACATGTAGTCCTCTGGCCCATTTCTTGTTGTCACCTCCCCCAAGAGTGTGTGTATCTTTATGCTTGCCTTAACATGATGTTTTTAAAGAAGCCATGATCACAATATATGTTCTTTTTCTTCTTTTGCTCCAAATTTAAACTATAATTCCTCTTCTGTACCATAGCTGCTCTCAGGCAAGATCCATATCATTTGTGCAGTTGGTCAGGCCCTCACAGAGATCTGCCCTTGCCTGGTCTGAGTAAGGGTCCCAATTAGCAGAAACACCTCTCTCCTCACCACAGAAAAGCAAATCTGGGAGAAACAGACTAGACTGAGCTCAGTTTCCTCTCTTGCAGGATTGTTATTTTACATATATTTGTATGTATGTATGATAAAGCACTAGGCAGCTTTTATTAGAATGGCAATTTTCATATCCAAAGAGCTTGCAGAGTAATTCATGGCTGTTAATTCACTGGGTCTCTGAGCACTAGGCCAGACAGCAAAGGCCCCTTTGCAAGACCACTTCCTATTAGAGGCAGTTGCAGTCAGCCCCAGATTTGCACTTGACTCTGTCCCTGTCTTACTGTGTGGCCTTGGAAAAGTTTCTTCCTTCCTTGGAACTCTGGTCCCTTTTCTCAGACTAGCTAAATAATCTTTGAGGGGTCTTCAAGTCACCATATGTGAAAAATGTCTCTTAGAAAACAGGGAGTTGTTCTGTATCCAAGGATTTCCTAACTGAGGCTGACAGCTAAGTCGATATCTCTCTTTTTCTCTCACCTTGCAATAGGACAGCCCTTTCTTGGCGGAGCACAAATATCCCACTTTACCTGGGAAGCTTTCAGGACCCACGCCCAATGGAGAGGCTGCCAAATCTCCTCCCACTGTCTGCCAGCCTGACGCCACGGGGAGCAGCCTGCTGAGGCTGAGTGAGTGTCCAGTCCTGGTGCTGGTGGCCTCTGAGCAGCATCCTTGGAACTTTCAGTGATTGTATAAGATCCCTGCACCTACCACCACAATCCACAGTTGGAGAATGGTGGGGTGGGTGGCTGGAACAAGTTGTACCTTGGGGTGGTCCCACCTCTAGAGGCTCCCCCTGGGTGAGCTGTTTTCTAAGGTAAGCATTCTACAGTCTCAGCAAACCAGGGTGTGTGTATCCCCTACTTCTTTTCAGCTGCAGCTTTTCACCCTCATTTCCTCTCTTCTTCTCTTCCTCCTCTCGAACCCCTTCCTGTCCTTCCTAGCATTGTTTTCCCTCCTCTCAGATACGCCCTTCTACCCTTCCTGCCCCTCGCGCTTCCTTCCTCTGTCATTCTGATCTTCTCTCTCCTGTCTCCACCTTCTTCTCTGCAGCTTCCCTATTCCCAGTAGGAGGGTATCATGCACTCCAAGTGGGACCATTTCCTTAGGCAAATGGAGTCAGTGGCCAGTGGGCAAGGGTGTCGGTCTACAGGTATCCTTTCGGTGGGTAAGACCTGAAACCACAGAGGCTTTTGCTGCTTTTCATTCAAAACAAGCCATCTTTCCCCACCAGCAGCAGAAGATTCAATGGGCCCAGGAGGGAACATTCTGGTCCTGGCAGAGTTCTTCCTGAGGCTCCTCAGCCTCAGCTCTTCTCTGAGCTGGCCTATGCATTGGCCTCGTGAAGGCCAGCTCTGCCGTTGGCTGCAGGAACTTCAGATAAGCCCTTGAATGAGTTCTAGTGACACTCAAACTGGACTCACTATGGCTTCAGATTGTTCTAGTGTGAGCTGAGTGAGCCCAGGCACCTGCACAAGAGCTGCCCGTGACCTGGAGTATTCAGCCCCTGCTGCTGTTCCTTCCTTTCCCTGGGTGTGGACACCTCAGCCTGTCACAAAGGGGCACTAGGAGCACTTGGTCCCCTCACATGAAACCTCCTCTCAATGTCAGTCACCACTCACCCCATCCTTCTCCATGGGATTATTTCTCTTTCTGTTTGAGTTTTTCTCTCTTGCTCGATGACACTCTTTTGTTTATTTCTTTGCTTCCCCGTAACTCTGTTGGGCTGGACTTTGGCCTCTCTTGTTTCTTCATGTGGCTTCTCTGCTTCTTGGTTCGCTGGAGATCGTGGCCGGAGTGTCAGTGCCCCCGTATTAGGTACTGTACCCATTCCAGGTGAGATGGAGAGTGAGAATGCCTTTGTTTCCCTACCCTAACCCTCCCCCTCACCAACACTCAGCCAGGGCTCCACTACTGCCTGCATTCCTGCATCTCCCTCTGAGGAAAAAGAACAAGCTCCTTGTTGAAATAATCCACAAGTACTTTGGACCCCAAATCCTTAACATTAAAGACATTAGCTCACCTACATTTGAAATATTGAGCACACTAATTTCTCAGCAAGGAAGCCTGGAGTCCCCACTAGTCTCTGGGATCTTGGTATGGACTTCTGCCCTGAAGGCAGAATTGGGCAGATTCTCTGGACTCCCACTGAAGGGGAGGGCCCAGGCTTGAGGAAGAAGGGTTCCAGAGGCTACATTCACGTTCATTGCCTTCTTCCAATCTCAGGAGACACAGAAAGTGGCTGGGATGACACTGCTGTGGTCAATGACCTCTCATCCACATCATCGGGCACTGAATCAGGTCCTCAGTCTCCTCTGACACCAGATGGTAAACGGAATCCCAAAGGCATTAAGAAGTTCTGGGGAAAGTAAGTTGGTGCTATTGATCCTAATTATATTGCTTTGAATTTTTCTTTTTGGTTGGGCAAAGAGTCTATGTAAGCCCCTGGTCCATTAGACATTGAAACAGCAGTCAGAACAGAGTGTTCATGTTTAAAGAGAAGAATCTTAGATATTTTTCAGGGCCAAGAGAAGGAGACATATGAAAGGCACCCATTAAATATATCCAGTTGCCTTTCGTGTCATGTATCCTAGGCACCCACCCATTCCACACACCCTGAACATAGTCTCTGCAGCTACATGGGCTTTGGGACAGACACAGATGAGACTGTATTCTCCCTTCTTAGGAGTCAATCTGTTTTAAGAAATCCTTGAAAAATCTTTGAAAGCCAAGTACTTGCTGACCCAACTGATCCACTTTGTGACATGAGGCAGAAACTGGGGCCTCCTACAAGGCATCAAACTTTGCTTTGACCTTTATGGCAAGTGACCAAATCCCAGAGGCAGGATTAGAATTGAGGCTTGAGTCTGGCGGAGGAGCTGCAATAGGTTGTGATCCTTGATCTCTGGGAAGGTACTGAGAAACAATGCTGCCCAGAGTCCCTGTGCTGGCCTGCATGGCCTTGCAAAAGAGGAGGCACAGTGACTGTAGGCTTTCCAACTATTCCATGACAGTCTCCATGGATTCTTCTCCATGCAGAATCCGAAGAACTCAGTCAGGAAATTTCAACACTGACACGCTGGGAATGGCAGAGTTTCGACGAGGTGGGCTCCGGGCGACCGCAGGGCCAAGACTCTCTAGGACCAGGGACTCCAAGGGACAGAAAAGGTAAGGTTCCCTCCAGTCCATCTACAAAGAGTTGTGTAAAATCCCAGCCAGGGTGGAGTGGGGAGAGGGTGCTTGTTGTCCCAAAGCCTCCAGAAATAGAAGCCAGGAATCCTTAGTGCAGAGCTTCTCAACTTGCTCATTCAACATGCATGGACGTTGCTCATGCTTACAAGTATGCTGAGGTAAAGATAAGAAGCTCCCTACAGCTGGAGGTAGGGAGCTAGGGTAGAAGGGTGGGCCCTTGGGCCTCCCTGAGCACCTCAACAGTGCTACACACGTATAACCCATTCTCAGCAGTGGGTTTACACACTAGATGGATAGCCTTGGTGTAGCCAGTAAGAGCACAGATTCTAGAATCCCAGGGAATTCCTAGGAATCGCTGCTCAACCACTTCCTAGCTGTGGGCTTTATACAGTATCTCTCTCTATGCCTCCATTTCCTCACTTGTAAAGTAGATGTCAAAAACAATTGTTTTATTAAAGTTATCGTGAGGATTACGTGAGCTACTACATGAGCTGTCTGCCATTCAAGAGTCAACAGCCTCTAGTATATTCGGGAAAGTGAGCCTTCCTTGTCTCTTACCTGCCTCTGGGTCAGCTCCATCCTTCCACAAAGACTCTGCAGAAAGATGTTGGTGGAGCTGGCCACACCTGCCACTATTTTTCATAATCCTGTGCCAAACTTTACTGTAGGATGTTAACTAAAGGGGGTTACAAAGGGATGGCACTGGAGTCAAAGTGGGAAGTTTCATGTCACTTTTCCCATCATACCTTAATACAAAAGCATAGAAAATGTTAAACTTCTCCAGAGGTGTCCCTGGTGGAAACCCTCCAGTTACTAGCTTTACCCACTTTCCTTTAATCTCTCTGCTCTGAAAAAGAGTATCTCCCCTCAAACCTGCACAGGTGAATCTTTACTACTGTGTTTCGGGGAAACCCCTTTCCATATTCTCTTCCCCAGTCAAGCAGTCCCTACAATAACATCATCTCCAGCACAATATCTCCTAAGTTCTGAGTCACTCAGCCAAGATCAGTACTCCTGAGGGCCTTCCACAGGATTTGAATGTGACATTTTATATCCAACCAAAAGGCAAAAAGTAAGCTGTAACTCTCTTCAGTTTAGTCCCCTCAAGACTGCCGTATACCAATGGAAAGTACAGGTAGTTGCTGGTTAAGATGCGTATAATTCAAATATCCGTTCTCAGAAATAATACAGTCTAGATTCCAATTAAGGAAGAAAAGCCATTTCCCTAAATGCATCATATTGTTTGCAGACCTGCATCCCCTGTGGAAGGGAGCCTTAGCTTATTTTGCACATGGATATGATACTCCACTTCCCCAGCTTGCCAAACAGGTTTCTAGTCTTACCAGGTCCTCCTGGTGCATGAGACACGGGACCTTTCCAGATCCATTTATTCTTTGAATGAGTATCCCCAGACTCCAGGTACCTTGAAAAGAAACATGAGAATGTGTAGACCACTAGCTTTTACAGGCTAGAGAATCTAAGGACACAGTCTAAGTAAGTCAGAGACCAATTTAGAGCCCTTAGAAAGTGAGCCAGAGAAAGCTTACCTGTATATTCAGTAATTAGATGATCTAATTTACTTAGCAATTTTCTCAATGTAGATATTACTGTTGTTTCTGATTTATGTGAGCTGAAAAAAAATCAAGCTATAGTAAGCTTGAATGATTCATCCTTGTTTGAATTCTGGCTAGTTCTTGAAGGATTGATTCTAGAAGGGGAATCATTGGGTCAGGGTATAAAAACTTTCCTAAGATCCCTCAGCATTGTCCCTAGAGTAGGAGAGCATGGTTAGGGAGCTCTCTGTATTCTGACAGTCACTTTAGGGTATGGGATGACCAGGGTCAGTAGCTTTCTTTGCCAAAGGGAAAAACTGCAGTTCCAGCCACAAGGCTGCTTTGTTCGAATGTCTTTCTGCTTTATTAACCATAACAGTGGATGAGAAAGGGAAGAAGTGTGAAGAGGTCCTGATGAGATTGCTTTGTTTATTGTAACGGTGCAAAATGAATTTGCTGGTGGAAAAGAAAGGCCTTTATAACTCTCAAGTAGAAATTTGATATATGTTAATGTCCCCTGGTAATATTTATAATTTCTAGATATTAATATTTAGGTGTAGCTTTAAAACTGTTGTTGTTAGTATTCTTTAGGAAAAGTACTTTGTTACTGAAAGCCTCCAGCCCCAAACTTTTTTTGTTCAATAAAACCATTGATTTTTTAAAAAATATGAGAATTGATAACATTGCGTAGGCACTCTCTTTCAGATTATGGACGAACACATTTTATTTGCTTTCTTCTCCTAGGTAAAGTTTTACAGAATTACATTCCAGTCAGCACTGCTGGACAGAGTGCACCTATTACACCCACATCCTTGTCAGCATTAAGTATTTACATTTTTGTTTTTCAAAGTTTTCTACTTTTATGAAACTCCAAATTTCCTTTTTATTGGTAATTTAGTTTTCATGTTTGTCATTTTAATTCTTTTGTGAATTATCTGCATTTTTGTTCATTATTAATGTATTTCTTATAGATTTCTAACTGTTCTCTATTAAGATATTAAGTCATGTCTAATAATTGTGACATAGTATTTTTAGGTTTGTGGCAGAATTTTACTTTTGTTTCTGATATTTTGATACATGGAATTTTTATGTTGATATAGAATTAGGTTTATCCACTTTGTGAATTCTTTCATTTTGTTTTAAATTTTTTTCTGTGATTTTTAAAAACTTTGAATAATCCATTTAGGAATTATTTTAGTTTGTGAGTTTATTATGAGTTACTGTTTTTGAGAAAAAGGCAGTAAAGTATAATGTTTAAGGCAAACAGGCTCTAGAGCCACATGGCTGGATCCCATCTTTGCAGAGTGTTTTTTTCCTGAGTTGATCTACTGAGTGTATTGCCCTTCAGGATTCCAGCTTTAGGAGAAGTCCCCAATCCTACTGCTCCCCTACCTTGGACCCCTTTTTGTTTCCTTTTCCTACACGCATAGTGAGTCAGATTCATCATGAATGTAAAGATGCTTAAGCTTCAGGGACCCTCCTTTGTATGGAGCCCTTCCAGGGTCCAGAGAGAGTCTGATCATAGTGTTAACAGGTCCAGGTGTTTTGACAATTTTGCATAAAAGAGGTATTTTAAATACAACCAGTTTTAAGACTGCTGACTCTTTTTACTGCAACTTTCCCTTGATCTATGCTTTTCCTTATAACAGATGGTGTTAGGGCAGCTGTGGGGATTTTGGGGGACTTGTTAAGGGGAAGTTAGCCTGAGGATACATGTAGTTTGGGTTTAGGGTGGGATGTGTGTGTTTGTGGTTTGCAGTCACTGCATGTTTAGTTTAGTTGGGTTTAATTCACTAGCTTTCCTACTGCACAAATGGCTTCCAGGATTTCTTCTACTTCCCATTGTGCCGATTCGCTCAGTGCTCTGTACTCACTTATGAACTGTACAATTATAAATGTGCCACGTGCTCTCCCCCTACCATGAGAAGAGCATATTTGAGAAATCTCAGCTACATCATTTGAAGTGCAATTTGAAAAGATGTTTTGGAATGTGTCAACAAAACAAATGGTTTGGCTATATATGAAGGGCATCTTCTCTGTCATCTCCAAATTATTTCCCAGCGTGTTCAGTGGTGCCCTGGCTGAGGTGGGAGATGCTGGCACTGAGAGGAGCTGAGGAGGAGGTGCAGAAGCTGGGTCTGATTCTGTGTGAACACTTCAAGGCTTAGGAGGGAGGAGAGGATTCACAAAACAAAAAATGGGAAGACTACTGGAGATGAGGCCCAGCTCTAGGTGGTTTTGAAAAGGTCAATAGGACAGAGGTTTTCCAATTATGATCTCAAAAACACTTATTTCCCCTTTAGAGCTGAAATGTTAGGTTCACAAAGACTAGGCAAAAAATAAAAGTTAAAAAATTTAAAAAAGAACTGAAAGGTCCCTTAGATATGTTTGTTTTTCCCACTTCCAAGAAACAAGGAAACAAATAAAATAAAAACCAAATAGAATATAAAACAAAAGTGATAAAATGATCATTGAAATTTGAGAGAAATTACTTTCTTACATTAAAAAATTATAAACAAAAAATCCAGATCATACCAAAAGCATAATTTGCTAAGAGCAAGAGGTAAGTTTTAAACAAAAAAAGTGAATAGCCTTCTAGATTGTTATTCATATAAGATGAATGATATGAACCCACTGGGAAAAGGTTGAAATTTCTTGCTGAGTTTACATGATATACTGACAGTGACAAAGATAACATAAAACTCATGTACTGCCACAAGGACATAGACAACACATGAGTTAAATGAATACTGTCAATTCAAAGAATGTTTAAGATTAGCCATAGCATTAGAAAACTTGAATGCATTATAGTTTTACAACTTACATATAAAAGACATTTGATAGAGGCCTTTCTAAATTTAAATGATTCTAAAAATGTACATGACCATACCAGTTATAAATTGTGAAGACAAAACTTTTTAACTATTATCATAAAAGATAAATATTGATCATGTTAGAAGACTAAATCAACCATCTGTTGTCATAGAAAATATTATAAAGTTGTGGACATATAAAGAAGCAGTCAAAGAGTATCCACCCAAAATATGAGAGTAGAAAAGTACTATAGCTGGATACAGTGGCTCAGACCTGTAGTCCCAGCTACTTGGGAGGAGGCAGGAGGATTGCTTGAGCCCAGGAGTTCAAGGCTGTAATAAGCTATGATTACATCACTATACACTCCAGCCTGGGCAGCAGAGCCAGACCCCATCTCTAAAAATAATTAATTACTAAAACCCTGTCTCTAAAATAAATACCCCATCGCTGAAATAACAAATACCCTGTCTCAAAAAAAGAATCAAACTACAGAGGTATCTCAAGCTTTTATATAATAAAATATTTCTACATTTTGTGATTTTTTTCAGTTTTGCAAAACTTGCAATTTTTGTGGGTTGTTTTCTAATTCTAAATATTCCCTTTGTTTCTAATTACATATTCAAATTTTATACTTTTTTTGAAGAGAAAGTTTGTAAGTTCCAGGCCTCGTAAAACATTTTCAGGACCCATGAAAGCCCAGGTTCCAGATTATGATTGATCAGTCCCTGCCACAGGGTATACATCATCTCCAGCATTTGTTCTAAAATGGGGCATTCTTGTCATGCTTATCCTTTAAGGAATTCCCTCACTTTAAGAACAGCTCAACCAGGCATTTAAAAAAATATGTTTTAATCTAGTATGTTAGGGCTACTTTGAAGGACTCTTTCTGGTCTTTGAAGGAATATCTAATCTTCAATATTCTATAAATCCTCATTTATGAACATAAAGTTGCTCTGTCAAATCCCCCCCTAAAAAAAATGACTCTATTGGTATTTTTAGTGTGCTGTTATATTCACACTTTAAATGAAAAATGGATGTCTTTAAGAACTGATGGCTTTATAAAACCCAGTCATCCTGTCTAGGAACATAATCTAGCTTTTCATTTATTCATGTCCTTTTTTATGTTGCTCAGTTGACTGTTGTAGTCAATACCTCTCCCCACCCCCGCAGTCCCCACACATAATCACACAAGGCCAAACATCTCTGGTTAAGGCAATTCCTAGACGTTTTATAATGTTAGTTGCTATGAGTGGGATTTTTAAATTGTTTTAACAGCATTAGTATCTGTGCATTGATGGTATTAGAAAATTATTGATATTTGTATTGTAACATAGATGTTACATATGTTTATATGTGCATTTCATAACTGGCCATCTTACTGAGCTTTCTAGGGTTTTCTAAATGGGCAGTCCTGTCATCTGTAAAGAATGGCTTTATTTCTGCCTAATAGCTATACTTCTTGTTCTTATTTATCTCTAATACTGCCTACGACTCTCAGACCAGTGTTATTAGCACTGATAAAAAACATATTGTCCTTTTATTGACTTTAATGTGAATGTTCCTCATTTTGTTAATAAGTAACGTGTTAGCTGTTGTTGATTGGAAAGTTTTTGATTTTAGTTTTTGGTGTGTGTGTGTGTTTTTTTTGTTTGTTTGTTTGTTTTTTATGTTAGGAGAACTGACCCTCTTAAATGCTAAGAAAACTTGTTTTCTAAGCATTTTCCTAAAAAGATGATTCCGCCTAATGAGGCCACAGCTCTGGGCTTGTGTCATGTATATGTGTGTATGTGCACCCAGGACATGTGAACATGATCTCAGGAGGGTCATACAGGCTGCACCATTCTCTAAGTAGACTGAGATTTGAAATTCAGATCTTATGTTATTAAGAAAACTCTAGGGTCTTCCTCCTATGAGTGTGTTGTAGTGGAATTTTGTTCAACAGAATCTCATGATGGAAGTTGTTTGTTAAAAAACAGGTTTTTGGTTTTGTTTTGTGAGACATGATTAGATTCAGAACCTCAGGCTCTCCCACTAACAGGAATATGCTGTTTTCCTGCTTCCCAGTGACGCCAATGCCCCCTTTGCCCAGTGGAGCACAGAGCGTGTGTGTGCCTGGCTGGAGGACTTTGGCCTGGCTCAGTATGTGATCTTTGCCAGGCAGTGGGTATCTTCTGGCCACACTTTACTGACAGCCACCCCTCAGGACATGGAAAAGGTAAGGGCTGAGCTTGGGGACAGGAGGCGCCCATTTCTTCCCAAACCAATGCATGGGGAGGGCAGGGTCCGCCACTCCTGTCACACACACAGGAGGATGGATGAAGGAGGGTGATAGTCCCTCTGTAGCTGCAGGTTGGCATCCCAGGGCACGGTGCAGAGATCCACTGCCATACTCTCAGAGCATCTCCACCCACACACAGCTTTCTTTGAGGACCAAATTGCCTGCCAAAATTTCACATGTGGTCTTCATCTTTTAATTTCAGGAGCTAGGAATTAAGCACCCTCTCCACAGGAAGAAGCTTGTTTTAGCAGTGAAAGCCATCAACACCAAACAGGAGGAGAAGTCTGCACTGCTAGACCACATTTGGGTGACACGTAAGGACAGGCATATATATATTAAGTATGTCTCTGGCAGCCACTAAGGGTAGAAAGAAATTCCCTATTAAATGGGTACCTCAAGGACAGCTGTCTCCTTGTAAAAGGCAGAGGAATTACTAAACTTTTGGGGGAATAACACAAACCTCAAAATATAATTTGCTCCCCTTTTTTTTGCATCTACATTCTCTGATTCTCATGAATCCTGACACATCTGGGGTTTTTGTATTTGTAGGGTGGCTTGATGATATTGGCTTACCCCAGTACAAAGACCAGTTTCATGAATCTAGAGTTGACGGACGAATGCTGCAATACCTAACTGTGGTGAGGACTTTTTCTTTCAATTTCAGTTGTCCCTGTGAGCACTCAGCTCACATGTACCCATAGTGGTCATTTTAAACCTGATTCCATATATTCTTAAGGCCTTGAAATAGTATCATTTGTCACAAAAGAGGTCCCAAGTAGCAGAGTACAAACCACTGTGATAAGCTATTGGTGTCTCCGCGTGCACCTTCCTGAGATGTAGTTGACTTGTCTATGTTTGGTCTCGTAAGGGACATCAGAGGTCTTTTGTCACTTTGGAAACTCTGGTTTATCAAACAAACTTTCCTCTTTCAGAATGATTTACTCTTCTTAAAAGTCACCAGCCAACTACATCATCTCAGCATCAAATGTGCCATTCACGTGCTGCATGTCAACAAGTTCAACCCCCACTGCCTGCACCGGCGGCCAGCTGATGAGGTGAGACCACAATAGTATCTCTCCAGGTAGCCCTGAACCAGGACCTCTGAAACATCGACCATGAGCAAACAAGAATGACATCATAAAAGCACTGTTTTTCGGATCATGGTTCCTGGGATTCTTTTGTTTGCTTGTGCTTCCTGGTGCCCCAAACACCCGTTACCTGTACTTTGTGTCTCACAGTAGCCATAGACCTCTAAGCTCCCACCCTCCACTGGGGAGACACGTGCTGTAAAGTCATCATAGTGATTAATGGAGATGAGTATATGGTGCAAAGGAGAGGGAGACAGAAAGAAAAAATGGAAAGATGGGTGTCACAGTAGAAGAGAAGAGACAGAGGAGAGGGAAGAGGAGCCCATAGAAGCTAGACATTTCAGAATAGGTATCCCTACTTGTAGATCCAAAATTAACTGACTTCCAGGCCCAGGTACAAGGGATCCATGAGGAGTCTTGCTACACAGTATAGGAAAATAACAGCACCCCAAGTCATGAAGAAATAACTGATTATGTTCCATGAACTTTGGAGTTCTTGGTGGACCCTCAAACTGAAGATTGTCAATCACATCCTATCTCCTCTGTTCCTGGGAACTAGGTCTAACCTTGATATAAAATTAACTCAGCTTCCTAGACTGCTACCTTTGCCATCTATCTCCTATTTTCTCCTTATTCAACCAACATGTTTTGAATGTCTTGTAAATGTCAAGCACAGCGCTGTGCATTTTTAAGACCACAGTGCTAGGTGAGAGCACTTAGGAATAAGTATCATAAGGTGCGCTCCCCTAAAATTGTTGGCCATGCCAGGGAGATCTTTCATCTATAAACCACTTGGATTGTAATTGACAGTCATCTTTAAAGTTCTATTGAATCACTGAAAGAATAACTATAATGTCCTCATTTATTTGTCTCAAAGTTAGCCAGAAAATGAGGGAGCAACAGAATTCTGGATTCAGATATCTCAGTGTGGAAGATCTTGCAAGATTCAGTGGGAGCTCTGTTTCCTGGAAATTGGGGGGGCTGGTGGTCTGGCAGATGGGGTGGGTCACTAAGCTTGAGGGTCTTCTATTGTTGTGATGCATCTGGGGCAGGGCTACTTACAGGGGCTGACTCCACAGAGGACCACGGTGGGACCTATTAAGCCTAACTTCCTCACTTTCCTCCCTCTGACAGAGTAACCTTTCTCCTTCAGAAGTTGTACAGTGGTCCAACCACAGAGTGATGGAGTGGTTGCGATCTGTGGACCTGGCAGAGTATGCACCCAATCTTCGAGGGAGTGGAGTCCATGGAGGCCTCATTGTGAGTGGCTCTCTGGCCTAGCCCACTTGCCTTGGTGCAAATGGGATATTCAGAAACTTATTTATTAAGGACAAGACATAAAATCTAACAAAAAAAAATAGGTACTTCATCTGAAGCTCTTGCATAATTTGACATCACAAAGTATTTTGATAACTTGTCCTTGAGAATTAATATACCTCATGGAAGCAAGATGCCTTCTGGCAGCACCTCCTTGGCATGAGACCTGAGGATTCTAGGTCAATGGGCTGCATGAAGACCAACGCTTACAAGGCAGATCTGCCTGTCCCTGAGTGGGGCTGGGGAAGGGACGGGAAAGCCATAAAAATGCAGCTTCCCACTTGCTGCAATATGATCCTTATCACTACTCAGATCTGTCAGTGACAAAGTCAGAGGGGAAATGAGGAAGTGTGGTGACTCGGATGTCATCCAGAGGAGATCCTGAGAGACAGCCTTACCAAAGAGGTCCCAGTTCTCTGCTGCTCTGTGAAAACAAGGTGGTCAGTCAGCAAATGTGCTAGTGTGTGCTCAGAGTCAGGTCCTGTGCCAGCCAGTGAGAGGAGTGGGACTCAGAACAAGTGACTGAGCTCCTGCCCCTGCTCTGGAGGTGCCCCCAGCCCAACAGGCCAATCTCTCAGCATCCTCCCCTCGAGCCATTTGTATTTGCTCCTGGCCAGGTTTGTTTCTGGTTCCTTCTTAGATCCTGGAGCCGCGCTTCACTGGGGACACCCTGGCTATGCTTCTCAATATCCCCCCACAAAAGACGCTCCTCAGGCGCCACCTGACCACCAAGTTCAATGCCCTGATTGGTCCAGAGGCTGAACAGGAAAAGCGAGAGAAGATGGCCTCACCAGCTTACACACCACTGACCACCACAGCCAAAGTCCGGGTGAGTTGCAGACCCTTTCTGAGTGGGCCCTGGGCTGCCTCCTGGCCCTCAGGCAGCACAGCACCTGGCTCGATGCCCGCAGCCAGAGCAGCATGCGCAGCCTGGACAAGAGGATCTTGCAGCTTCTGCCGTGGTCTTGTGATCTGTTAGGCCAGTCTTTGTTAAGCCAGTTCTCCACCAGTTTTGAGTCCAAGGAAGACAGTGCAGGTTTCTTTACCTAGAAAATATGTTCAGGAAGCACCTATCCTCAGGTGACTTAGAGCTCACCCTCTACCCCATTGCTGCCGTGACTCATCTTGCGGAGCAGAAGTGCTCCGAGTTTGGCTTTCGTTCGGTCAGGCCTGCCTGCGTGCCGCAATGCCATGGGATCTTGGCCAAAGCTGTCCTGCTGACATAGGAAGTGTTCCCATTGGAAGCTGGTTCCCTTTGTCTTGTTTTGTGATGTGGCCAGCACACAGATACCCAGAGGTCCCAAGGTCTTCCAAGCACCAACACTACTCACTGGGGCTCCCAGAATCCCACAAAGCCCTTTAGACCTGCCTGAGCCACAGCATCCTCAAACCATATTCTTCCCAGACTAAAGACCCACAGGCAACCTCTCGAGGCCAGGCTGGTCCTATCCCTGGTAGTGTTGAGGCTTCATGCCCAGCTATAACTCAGGCACAGACCTCGTTCCCCAAGGGAGCAGGACAGGAAGTATGTCTGGGGGAGTCAAGCAGAAACAGTGCTGTGTGACGCTAGGGCAGGGAGCAACCTGGGGCTATCCTACATGCCTTTAGATGGTGCCAGGTGCTCAGATGGGAAAGGGTTGGGGTGCCAGTAGCTGTGCTGAGGCAAGTTCTCTGTGCTTCGCCTCAAGTGCAGACCTCAAGTACATTCTAAAGAAACTCCCAGTTCATCTATGGAAATGAGAAAGTCACTTTGGTGGGGCAGCCAGGCATGAGTTTCTGGCATAGTATTGGAGGGGCAGCTCTTATTGTTCAAGATTATTTACCTGTTGGCCTTTCTGCAGCATATAAATTGCTTACAAGAGCTCTGTTTTGTTCAGAATCTTTCTAGGAGCAGTTTACGTCATTCCTCTCCTTGTGGGCCTGCTCTTAAATTTTAATTATATTGTCAGTCATACCTGCACACTGCCCTGATTGCCTTCTCATAATCTTACATTTGCTGTGTTTTAGCCAAGGAAACTAGGATTTTCACACTTTGGAAACATAAGAAAAAAGAAGTTTGATGAATCGACGGACTACATTTGCCCAATGGAGCCTAGTGACGGTGTCAGTGACAGTCACAGGGTCTACAGTGGCTACCGGGACCTCAGCCCCCTTGATGCCCCTGAACTGGATGGGCTGGACCAGGTGGGACAGATTAGCTGATGCCCTTGTCACCTGCCCTCTGTGCACCCTGAGAGCTCACAGTAACACTGTGTCACCATATAACTGCACCTCACCCCTGCACATGTGCATGACTCGCAGAGAACATTCCAGCAATTGTGTACCCCTGGGCCAGTCTCTCTTTGAACTCTGAGGGTGGCCAGGATCTGGAGCTGCATCTCTAAGGGGCCAGGCTTTGGGGACCATTGTCAAAGGTGGACTCAGGAGGAAAGACACTTAAAGACACCTTTATGTTTCTAGTAAGTCTTGATGTTCATCTTCAGCACCAGTGGAAACACATGAACTTCGATGCAGGTCCAGAGACCATGGAGACTCCCACGAGGCTCAGCTCTCAGGCACCCTCTATGCTTCAGTTGAGGGAAAAGCTCAAGTGCCTTAGGCCCGTGGGCCACAGTCTTGGCTGAGATCAAAGGGATGAGCCACAGGGACTTCTGCCACAGTGACAGTGGAATTGTGTTGTGCCTTACTTCAGAGGTGGTCTCTTCTTTCTTGTAATAAAAGCAATATTTATGTGGAAAGCAAGCAGTGCAACATATCTTTAACTTTGTTGGGGAAAGAGAGCTGAGGGTAGCTGGAAATAGAGTCCTACCAATTGCAGAGCTGAAGAGCCGATGGCACTGAGCCTGGTCCTCAGCCAGGTGCAGACTCAGGATTCACTAGGGGGTAGAACAAGGCAGAACCCCCTCCCATAGCCTTCAGAGGAGGTCTGTGGCCTCAGTGCTCCAGAATTTGCTTCCCTCTGTGAAGCAGAGGGGGCTTCGTGTCTCATGCATGTCCTGACCATACGGCACATCTGTCGTGCAGACCTCAAAGCTGATTGGTTTTAGTGGCATGAGCCCCCTCAGTGAAGGGGATGGTGGGGAGATAAGAAGGGCACCTTGCTGGAAAGACTCTCTGTTCTTTCATGTGTTTTGCTGGCTTCTCTATTACTGACTTAGCCAGGCTCATAACCATGGTGGGGGCTGGTCTGTCTGCTGGCAGAACGGAAAGAGATCTGTCCCCTTGATTTAGAGACTGACTGACTGATAATGGCTCCTCCAGATGGGTCTTGTCTGGCTGGGACTGAGGGAGAGACGTGCCTTGCCAGTCTGGGCTCCTGGTCAAGAGACTTTAGTTTGCCCCCAGGCAGCGTTTGGCTCCCCTCAATCCCCTGGGCCTCATCACAGAAAAGTAACACTACATCACCGCCATCTGATGGCCTGGGCACGGCCTGATGACCCCATTCCATTGTGGCACTCTGATTCTGTCCCAGATGGAGGCTATGCTAAGATTCGCTTCTTAAACTACCAGCAGCCTCAGGCATGGTCTGTTGCCACAGGCCACTGCCTTCCAGGAGGTGAGAGATGTCGGGACAAGCTTGCCGGCTGGCAATGCTGCTGTTAGATCCTGGTACCCAGGTCCGCTGGATGAGAAGTGCTCATTCAGGCTGACGCCTGGCCATTGGAGTTGTAGAGCCAGTCAGGGCAGGCTTTGTCCCTTGCTTCTTATGTCACAGTACAGGGATCTCTGCATGTGCCTGTTTTCAAAACCTGCATGGAACTGTTTTGCCACTGATTCTCTGCACCCTCAAGTAAGTCCTGTTCCCTTTGTGGGCTTCAGTTTTCCTACCTATAAAACAAGGGAGGGGTTACACTTGGTGCCCTCCAAATTTACAGAGGATGTTTCCAAATCTACAGTGTCTAAGTAGGTTTAGGGAAGAAGGAAGAGACTAGTATTACCTGAGAAGGAGGGGCAGGAGGGAGGCTCTTGAGTAGTGAGGAAGGATGCCCACCTATGTCAGGGCATTGGTGTCTGAGCTTCTGTTGCCTGGTTAGTGTGAGTCTGTTTAGCATCCTGAAGGCCTTCATTGCTACTGCTCTCTGCTCCTGGAAATAGCTGGAACATTGAATACGTGCAGAAGGGCTGCTTCTGACAAGCCTGTGTCCTGCCTCTATGTACCCTGAATGCCAGTTCCCAGTGGGGCCCCAGGAGAGGTATGCATGCAGTGTGGGACATTGATGCTTTTCCCCGGGAAACAGAAGCAGCCTGTGCTCCACCCACCTGTCACTCCTCAGGGCCCGGCCCCCTCCTTGCCCATCCCTCCAGGGAAGCATGCCCTGGAGAAGCCAGGCTTGAGTATGACAGGACTTGCATGCCATTTCTGTGAATCACGAGCTGCCTCCATGTGTGCTGACCAGGCTGCTGCCCATTTTACAGATGGCACCTTCGGAAGGTACCGTGACGCAAATAGGGCTCCTCTCCCAAGACATTCACCGCCTTACGGTAGGACTCTGACCCTCTCCCCATAGTCAGACTGGTGCTAGGGAGGCCCAGTGAGTTTGGTGTGGTATTGCACAAGGCCTGGAGAACAGCAAAGAATGGTGCTCAGTGCTGGGGTCACAGCCTGAGCCTGAGCCAGCCCCGAGGCAGAAAGCAGCCCAGGGGCCTTCTCTGTTGGCCTGTTACTGGACCTTGAGCCCTTAAGGGCATTGGGGAGGCTCATGGGCTGTTAGCCAAAGCCAGCTAAAGCACACTAGATCTCAGGTCCTCTTCCCGGGCTTAAAGATGAGGAAACCAAAATGCTCAGCAGCTCTGGATCATCTGTCTCATCAGCCTAGAGCCCAAGCTGCATCCTGTCCTAGCAGACACTTCCACCCTCTGCCCAGAGACAAATGCATTTCCTATCGTGCCTCTGACTTTGTGGGTATCACGAAGTGTTGACAGGCTTGTGAGCACATCTGGCACGCCCGAAAGGACAAACTATATCATGGGGAAGGAGCTTGGCCTTGAAAAGCAGTTTTGGAGTGAGGCTCAAGTCTCTGCTCTGACTTCACTAGCTCTGTGACCTGGGGTGTCATTCTCTCCTGAGCTTTGGCTTAGTTATCTGTAAAGCAGGGCTAATGATACCCTCCTTGCCAGGCTTACAGGCAGACTAGAGCCGGCACGAAAAGGCCAGCCACAGAGCACAGCCACAGAGCACAGGATTTGTTTTTGAGGACCCGTAACTCCCAAGGCCTTTTAGTTCTTGGACATCCCATCACTCAGCCTGTTGGCTGTAGTGTCTGTCCCCATCGAGGCCCCTGTCACTGCACTTTGCTTGCTTGTCTAACAAGGCCCATTGGGAAGACAGGGCAAGGACAGGGACACACGACTCTCCTTGTATCCAAGGACACAACAGGGAAGTCTCCCTGACTCCAAACAGGATCAGTTTTATTCAACGTTTTTATTTATCGGCCCACCCATGAAAGGAATCTGACCACACTTGCCCTTATGATCTAGTCCTTCGGTGGCCTGAAAATAGAAAATTTATTTCTAAGATGAACAATTTATTTTTATCTTAATAGTATTGTTTATTCTGATCCAATACTCAGGGTTTCTTGGGACACTATAAACACTATACAGTTCACCTGCGTCAGATGCAGCCCTCACCCAGTGCCCTCTAGTTCCCATGCAGCTGCTGCAGGGCAGCCTGGACCAAAACTCTGTTAAACTGACCCTTCGGCTGTGTCCTTTTCAGACAATGCTGAGCCAGGACCAGCTGCTGAATGACTCTCGCCTGCCTGCCCCTGACTCTGATGACTGGAGATGACTTTCTTCATGGCTGAGAGCGTAGGGAGGCATGTGTGGGGGCCCAGAGCCTTTGCTTCTGTGGGGAGCTGGCACACAGCCCTCTCTGCAAGCCCAGTCTGGGCTGGCAGGGTGTCTCAGACAGGGTGCCGACAGGCACGAAGCAGAGCTGTGGGACAGGTGTCCAAGGGTGGCCCCAGGGTCCGTGTGTGTCTTCAACCATGCTGCGCTCTTCACCGCAGGCTTCATACCTTTTGTACTTTTATACATGGTCTGCGGACCACTTTTGTGGGAGGGCAGTGAGATATCAGCACGCAGACTAGATGGCTCATGCTATTCCTGGTGACATCCTGGAGGCTCTCACACCCGAGGAGGAGAGCTGTTAGTTAATAAAACCTGCTGGAAAAAAAGTTCCGAAAAACTGTTTTGAATGTTCTGTAGAGACTGCGTTTTGTGAAATGATCACCGGGAGCTCCCTCCGGCGCTGCTTCACAGGAGCATGCTTTTCCATTCACAGGACTGTGGCCCGGCAAGGCAGGTGTTTAGGGTGTGAGCAGGGAAAGCAACGAGGCCCCTTTCCCACAGCCCTGCCTGACTCTATCTCCCGTCATCTGCAAGGGGTATCTGTGCAACCTCCCAGCTTGGAGCAGAGGCGTCCCCAACACATGCACGCCCTGCCCTTTGCCTCCGCCCAAGCTGACACACAGCCTCCCAGGCCTTGCCCTTGGAGCAGCTCAGGCATAATGTCTGATTAAATAGCTCCCCCAAGTGGAAGGCCCTTGGGCACCTCAAGCTCGGTGTTTCCACCGCAACTCACCAACTTCCCAGACATGTCCGTTTCCTCTCCAATATTTAGTCTTTCCTCCCTCCAGGCATCTGCTCAGGCCCTTCCCTCACTGGGGAATGCATTTTTCTCCTAGTCCCCTTCATGAGGCAAAATCCTGTCTCCCAAGGCATGGCAAAGGGACCATCTCTCAGGAAGCCTTCCCGCATGATCCAGTTACAGGTCAGCTGTCCCACAGTACCGTGTCTGCCCTTGAGCCAGAGCACAGCTCACCTTGAAGTTTCTTGTCATCTTACCATACCCGTCCTCACCACAAAGTTGGAGCACCTGCTCTGGGCTGGTTCCTGTACAGACAGTCCTCCAATTGCCAAGGAGATCCATGCTCCTAAGTTCCCCATCCACCCACTCCTTCACATGTGTGTGTTAAGTACCTTCCATGCCAGGGCTACAGATATAGGCAAGAATGCCAAGGTCCCTGCCTGAAGGTGTTTACAGTCTAGTGGAGTACAGACCAGTTTCAAACAAGACTTTGCCAAAGGATACAGATGCTCCAATATTAGTTTCTGCAGCCTAAAAGAGCATGTTATCATTTTTAATGGGGGTTTGGGGAAGGAGTCTGAATAGGTTCCATGGAAGAGGTGACACCTGAATTTGGAAAGATGAATCATATTTTCCCAGGTATGCCAGAGGGGAAGGGCATTCCAGGTAGACAGACTTGAAACGGCGCAGCACAACCTAGGAATTGCCAAAAGTTGGTAGGCTAAAGCAGGGTTTCCTGGCCTCTGTGCTGCTGTCACTTTGGGCTGCGTAATACTCTGTGATGGAGGCTCTCCTGTGGGTTTTAAGACGTTTAGCAGCATCCTTGGTCTCTACCCTCTAGATGCCAATAAAGGGTAGATGCACCCCTTCTCTAGTTGACAACCAACATGTCTTTGGACTTTGTTATCTGTTCCCTGAGCAGCAAAATCACCCTTAGCTGAAGAACCACTAGGCGAGAGAATGGGGTCAGAGTTGGGGGCCCAGGGAAAGGAAAATCTGACAAAGTCAGCAGGAGCCAAATCAAGAAAGGCCTTGGGAGCCAGACCCTGGAGTGCGTCCTGGAGAGAAGGGGTGGCCAGAGTGGGGTATCCCTTGAAAACAGTGAAGGATCCCCAAGGAGACACTGAACAGGTGGATGGGTGAGGTTGGCCACCCCTCCCTCCCATCCCCACAGACCTTCTGTGAGGTCATCTCTGTGTTTGGCCACTGGAGGGTAAGACACAGCTGTACTTCAGAGAGCTCCCCAGAGCCCTGTTCTCTCTCTCCCCTCCCCTCTCCCTCACGCACATGCACACTGAGTGACAAGTCCAGTGATACCAAGTTCCAATGTGGCTGCCATTATGTCAGTTTTTGTGAAAAGGGGAACAACTTAGAATAAAACTGGCCTAGGTTTAAGGCCAGCTTTGCCACCCACTGGTTGAATGACCTGGGAACACAGTCTCCAGGCCTCAGTTTCCTCATCTATAATTTGGAGAACAAAATCCCTATAGAATCTCTGGTTTGTTATGAGACTTCTATGAAGCAGGGCAGAAGCAGCTCTACCCACTCACAGGTAACAGAGCAGCACTGTGTCATCCTGGCCATGAACCGCAAGGGGCCATGTGGTCACTCGTATCGTTTGGGTTTCATGATACTACAAAGGATTTAAGGCAGCTTCTGGAATCTGACTTTGAAAGTTGAGAAGTTTCTGTGTATAACCACTCCTACCATGACCCCCAGTGCCATGGAGAGATTCTTGAGAGTTGATGTGACCCCACTTGGAGTTTTTTGGGAATTGCCCCTACACTTGACAGTTCTGACCCCCATGGGTATGCAGAAGCCAACTCACAGGCCAGGCCATGGCCTCTGACTATCTAGCAGGTCCCCCACAGAGCCACACTTCATGGGCTATCTGCTTTGTACTTGAGTTTATTTCACAAAACCATGGAGAAAGATACTGAAATGGAGCTCTTTCCAGCCTCCAAGCAAGGAGGCTCCAGCAGCCAGTCTCCAGCCCCTTAAGCCCTTCTTGTTAGGCCCACACCCAAAAGAGAGGAGAACCAGTGTCTGCGTGAGGGTACCTGGCAAGGCACTTTTGAAAACATCCCAGTTTAATGTGGTGAAATTGAACTTACTCTGAAACAGATGAAAAGGGACATGCAAACTTCCTGAGCACATGGAGGTGTTAGTAGGTGAAAATCATGTCCTGGGTATAACCCAGCTTCTCCAGGTTAGGGTGAGCTGCCGTCTGGATCAGGGGTGGTGGGCCACACACCAGGATGAGCGTGGACTTCCCTGGAGGAGGAAGGTGCTCCTTGATCATGTCGGCAGTAACAAAGCCTGAGCTGTACTTCCAGCCTGAAATGAAGCAGACGCAGGAGAAAGCTGTGGGATGCCAGGTGGAGTTCCTGATCCCAGGCCACCTATATACCCACCCTCAACCAGGGAGGAGGTGACAAGCTGCTCTACAAAGGCTTAGAAGTCTGTACTACTGCTCCCTGCAAAAAGCCTCAGAACTAATAAACAGCCCTCTGCAGCAGTCGCCCCAGGTCCCAGGCTCACTGCGGGGACCCTGAAGCCCTGCTGCTGTCAGCTGTCAGCATTAATGAGGAAGGAGAACACAATGAGGTATATCGAGGTGTGTGAATCAATACAGCCGACTGGAGTTGTCCGGCAGGGTGTGGCCTGGTGTTAGTGGAACTGCTCAGAATTGCTCAGTTGGGTAGCGGCCTCTGCCAACCACGAAGCTGTATGACAAGCAGGTACAGCTGGACGCAGTGTGAGATGTGCGCCTGTGGGGTACTCTGTGCACAGTGGTTGCTGTGATGCTGCCTGGGCTGCAGCAGCTATCTGTGGGCTCAGCATGTGAAGACTGCTGTCCGGGCAAGGTGGGTGGTGAGGGGTGTGGTGGCCGTAAGCAGAGGCGTGAGTGGTGAAGGGGTCAGTGCCCATATTAGATGTGTATGTGATGGTGTGTGGAGTGGGTGGGTGTTCAGAGTGGACAGGGGCAGTGTCCCTTTTGATGTTCAGTGCAGTGTGTGGGGTGCTGCTGATGTATTAGACACCTGCTCTTGATTGCCCTTAAAAGCAGGCTATCCCAAATCCTCTCTCCCTCAATTTCTCTCATTTCCCACCTGGAGCCAGAGCCCAAGGCTTCACCCCCACATCTGTTCCTATAAAACAAAAACAAAACAAACAGAGACCAGTCCTCAAAGTGGTCAAGGGTTGATGCTGACCCATGGTGGGTGACGGCACTGGATATCGTACCAATAGGAGGCCTGTCCAGGGTGTACCACAGGTCGAACTGGTCTGGGTGAGTCCTGGCAATTTCTTCAAGCTCTTTTCTGACCAATATATCCTCCTCTGTCTAGAAAAGAAGCAACACTAGAAAAGCCCCTCCAGGGCCATCCTGTTGTTCCCTGGACTGACTACACTGGTCAGCATACTCTTGGCCAAAGCTGCTGCCGCTCCAGCTGGAATGCTCGCTGCCAACTTTCAGGGCAAACAGGAGTTCTGCTGCTGCTCGTGAAGATCAAACCGTTTGTCTTGTGGATGAAGTTGGTGGTAGGATGTAGGTTCCCATGGAGCTGTAGTGACTGCCTCCAGCTAGAAGGACCTTTGCCAGGCACTGGCCAGGATGGCTTCACGCAGAGCTCCAGCCCTGCCTCCTACATCTACACTGAGCTCTAGCACAGCAAACCTAACTGGAACAAGCTCAGTGCAGGCCCAGGATCTTCTGGAAGAAATGTAATGGGCTCAGAAAGTCCTGTGATAGCACTGTACTGGATATGTGAAGGAGAGGAAAACAGTCTGGAGCCTCATTTGGGGGAAAGGGAACCAAAGCCAAAAATAACCTGTCACAGGCTCAAACATACTGCACAGAAGACCTGCACAGAACCTTCATGATTCTTATCCCAGTCATTCCACTTCTGGGATTCTGTTTTAGAAAATAATCTAAAAGTAATCAAGCATAGGCACAATTATTCATCACCATATTATTTATAACTGAAAACAGCCTGAATATAGAAGTTAGATTATAGTGCAACTTGATAAAAACTATGATGAAAATATTTATAAAGCAGTTTAAAGAGAAGAAAATGCCTGTGTGGTAATGCTGAGTGAAAAAAATGCATATATAAATTATAAATATATCGCATATATAGAAAAAAGATTTAAAAAATAAGTATTTATATTCTGTATTTTCTGAAGTGTCCACTCAGGACATCTACGATTTTGCACTTAGCAAAAATGTAGCAATACATATTAAGGAAAAAAGGAATGCTTAGTGCTTAGGGTTGGCTGAGGAGACACAAAAGAGTTAAATACATGCAAAAAGCAGGCCTAGACTCAGCTTCTCCAGCTGCCAGCAGCCCTGTTGATCCCACTAAGCCCTCCCACAGTCACAGGCACCCAAGCAGCGTGAGCTCAGTCGATGGAGGAGAAATGAAAACAAGAGCCCAGCTCAGCAAACATTCCATCCTACCACTGTAAGCTCAGCAGGAACTGACCTGGTTGGCAAAGATGAGGGACATCCTGGTGCTGTCACTGGGGTCCTTGGTGATGTGGCGAATGAGCTGCAACATGGGTGTGATGCCTGGAACATAGTGAGTGGG